GGGGGGGGACGGGGGGACCACGTGCAGCGTCTGCAGGGCAAGCGGCCACTTTTGCAAGGGGGGGAGGACACGCCCCGGCTTCGTTCCTGCACTGGCGTCACCTCCCCCGGGAATGGTGGGCCGTGCCAGCCAGAGTGCTGTGGAGCAAAAGCCAGGGATGCCGCGCTAAGACCCTCACGAGCCACCATTCCCGGGGCCTCGCCCACGTGGTCCTTCCAAGCCAGTGTCCAGCTGGGCTTTACTAACACTGCTGCCCTTTACTAACACTGCTGCCCCCACACTCTGGCGGTGCTCAATTAAACTTCTTTTTAAACTTTCTCGGGGGATGGGGGGAGATGGGACCATCCACCTTTCAAAGTCCAGCACAGACAGAATATCCACCTTCCTTTCTGTGCCCTAATCCCATCTACCCAACTCCTCCCTTGTGGCCTTCTGCGCTCATCGGAAATACAGCCAAGCACATATATAGACCGAGGGCATACCCGTCTGCTTGATTTAGGGGGGGAGCTCTTCTTGGAAAGGTAGGTAGTACCTTGTTTTTGTCCAGGAAGGACCCGTGGCTAAAAGCTGGGTATCCATGGCAAGACATATGGAGCAGAGATCCACGAGTGGCTCTTAGCCACAAGGTAGAGATGGAACACTCTGTCTGGGGCAGTGATGCTCTGTCTTCTTGGTGCTTGGGGGGCCACAGTGGGAGGGCTTCTGGCAATGTGTTTTGGCCACTGTGTGACACAGAGTGCTGGACTGGGTGGGCCACTGGCCTGATCCAACATGGCTTCTCTTATGTCCTTATATGGAGCAGAGCTCCATGAGTGGCTCTTAGCCACAAGGTAGAGATGGAACACTCTGGGGCAGTGATGCTCTGTCTTCTTGGTGCTTGGGGGGCCACAGTGGGAGGGCTTCTGGAGTTCTGGCCCCGCTGCTGGACCTCCTGACGGCCCCTGGGCTTTGGCCACTGTGTGACACAGAGTGTGGGACTGGATGGGCCAGTGGCCTGATCCAACATGACTTCTGATCTTATGCTGAAGCCCCCCCCCCCAGACCTCCATCCATGGTCAACTAGGTGACCAAGCAGATGAGTGGCAAAGACCAGAGTGCTGGAGCCTGTGGGGGAACACAGTACTCAACGCTGAAAGCAGGCTCTCACTTCTGGAAAAATCTTATATCCCAGTTTTTATAAAGGGGGGGGGGGAAAGGAAGACAAACACAGCTACCCATCTGGATCTATCTCCATGGAAGACAAATCCAGGTGCGTCTGAGTCCTTAGGAACTTCTTGGGAGAACTCACAGCTGACCAAACCCTGGACTGTGATTAGGCAGGCTGACCTCATCTTTCTTGTTTTGGTGACCTTCCTGTTCAAAATGAAGCTGGAGTCCAGTGGCCCCTTGCAGACAAACAACACTTATTTCTAGGTGCCGGATTCAAGTCCAGCCGTGCCTTAGAGACCAGCTAGATTTTCTGTGTGTAAGTTTATACCCCGAATATTTTGTTGGACTCCCAAGCTGCTCCTGGACTCAAGCCTCACTGTGCTTCTGCAGACCGGCACGGCTATCCTCCGAAACGATTTCTAAATGAGCTCCCGCGCCTGACGTTCACTTTTGATCTCCGCAGACCTGAAGAAATGAGCGTGACTCACGGAAGCTCATAAACACTGTTAGTTGTTTGGGCAACCCCTTGACTCCGGCTCTGTTTCGCTGCAACAGACTAACACTTCTACTCTTTTGCAACCTTCCTGTTCAGACTTTCAAGACCGTGAGCAAGGGACTCAGCCGAATCAGAATTCTTCCATTGGCGACACCCCAGGCCGGGAGGAGCCTCAGAGGAAAGTGACCGGCAGAGATTCTCTTTTCGGAAAGAGAAACTGATCTTTTGTGCTGCCTTGGAGTAGGAGCCCAACTCGATCACACTGCTGCTACCCTTAAAACTTGGCAGTGTGTGTGTGTGTGGGGGGGGGTCACTCTTGGCACTTGAATGTGTGTCTCTTCCCTGCCCGTTCCACCGCTTTTACACACGGCTGGGGCTTTTCTACACGCCTTTGGGAATGGGTCCCGATTTCCGCATCTCGAGAAACCTCAGTCAAAAAAGCATAAAGCCAATTTCAAGTCCTTTTATTTTACAGGACTCTCAGTAGTGCCATTTTATTGGCCCCTCAGTGGCTAGTGACCTTGGTAAGTGAAGGGGGGGGGGCATCATCGACAGAGGCAGCAAACCTCTGAAGCCCAGTCTGCCAGGAGGCAGCACCAGGGGAAGGCCTTGACCTCTACGGCCTGCGTGTTTGGCCCTCCAGGGCAGCTAGTCAGCTGCTGTGTGAACCAGATGGATGCGACACTGCAGCAACCAGCACCGCCTCTTTCTCCCTCCCCAATACCAGCAGAATAACCGGAGAGCAGCAGAACATCAGAAGAGCCCTGCTGGATCAGACCAGTGAGGGGCCATCCAGTCCAGCATCCTGTCTCACACCGAGGCCAGCCAGTTCCACTGGAGGGCCAACTACAGGGCAGGGAGGCCGAGGCCTCCCCCTGAGAAGAACCTCAGAAGAGCCCTGCTGGATCAGACCAGTGAGGGGCCATCCAGTCCAGCATCCTGTCTCACACCGAGGCCAGCCAGTTCCACTGGAGGGCCAACTACAGGGCAGGGAGGCCGAGGCCTCCCCCTGAGAAGAACCTCAGAAGAGCCCTGCTGGATCAGACCAGTGAGGGGCCATCCAGTCCAGCATCCTGTCTCACACCGAGGCCAGCCAGTTCCACTGGAGGGCCAACTACAGGGCAGGGAGGCCGAGGCCTCCCCCTGAGAAGAACCTCAGAAGAGCCCTGCTGGATCAGACCAGTGAGGGGCCATCCAGTCCAGCATCCTGTCTCACACCGAGGCCAGCCAGTTCCACTGGAGGGCCAACTACAGGGCAGGGAGGCCGAGGCCTTCCCCTGATGTTGCCTCCTGGCTCTGGGATTCAGAGGATTAGTGCCTCTGAATGTGGAGGTTCCCCTCAGTCACCAGGGCTAGCGGCCACTGATAGACCTATCCTCCATGAATCTATCTAATCCCCCCTTTAAAGTATTCCTGATGCCATCACTACATCCTCTGACAGCAACTTCCACATCTTAAACACTCTCTGTGTAAAGTGGCATTTCCTTTTTTCCGTCCTGATCCTACAGCCCATTAGCTTCATTCCCGGAGCCTGTCCTCTGCCTCGGCTTTGTGTGGGGCAGGAGACTGGGACATGCCTGTTCCTGCTTCAGCACCCCGATCCCAAAAGGCTGGTTGGAAGCGAAACCGATTGTGGTAGGCCTGGGACAGCAGTCGCCGTCTGGGCGTCCTTGTCCCCCAGTTGATCCCTCCTGACAGAAATGATGGGGGTCGTTCAGCATCCTCCCAGCCAGGGGATCTGGCAGTCAGCCATTTAGGGAGGGGCCAGGGGACCCTTCCCCTAAAAAAATCATTCTCTTGTTGGCAGGGTAAAACTGGTTTCTAGCCAAGGCCTCAGGGGCCTGTATGCTTCCTGCTTCAGAAAAAGCCGCTCCGTGGGCACATGCTTTACACCCCACGGCACAAAAAGACGCTTCTTCTACTCGGCGTCTTCTCTCTTTTGGGACTGAAAAGGCCCCTGTTGTACAAATCACACTATGCCCCTCCAGGTGCAGTGCCCATCTGAACACTTAAGAGGAGGGCAGGGGGCTGTTCCTGTTGGCAGTGGAGGAGACGACTCGCAAGAATGGGTTGAAATTAAGGGCGGGGAGGTGCCGGCTGGATATCAGGGAAAACGTTTTGTACAGTCGGAGTTGTGCCACAGTGGAGTTGGCTGCCTGGGGAGGTGGTGAGCTCCCCCTCCCTGACAGTCTTGAAGCAGCGGCTGGACCGACACTGGTCAGGGCTGCTCTAGGCTGATCCTGCACTGAGCAGGGGGTCAGACTAGATGGCCTCTGTGGCTCCTTCCAACGCTGTGATTCTAGGATTCGGACACCTAAGGGGCTAAGATCTTTGTGAGCAACAGTAGAATCCAGTATCTTACATGAACCTGACTTCTACTGACTCAGACCCTTGGTCCATCACGGTCAGTATTGTCTACTCTGACTGGCAGCAACTCTCCAAGGTCTCCGGCGGAGGTCTTTCTCACCACCTACTGCCTGCTCCTTTTTAACTGGACATATGGGGGATTGAACCTGGGGCCTTCTGCATGCCAGGCAGATGCTCTACCACTGAGCCACAGTCCCTCTTTACAGCTCTCCAGGGTCTCAGGCAGAGGTCTTTCCCATCACCTCCTGCCTGCTCCTTTTAACTGGAGATGCTGGGGATTGAACCTGGGGCCTTCTGCATGCCAGGCAGAGGCTCTTCCACTGAGCCACAGTCCCTCTTTACAGCTCTCCAGGGTCTCGGGCGGAGGTCTTTCCCTTCACCTCCTGCCTGGTCCTTTTAACTGGAGATGCCGGGGATTGAACCTGGGGCCTTCTGCATGCCAGGCAGAGGCTCTTCCACTGAGCCACAGGCCCTCTTTACAGCTCTCCAGGGTCTCGGGCTGAGGTCTTTCCCATCACCTCCTGCCTGGTCCTTTTAACTGGAGGTGCCAGGGATTGAACCTTGGACCTTCTGCATGCCAAGCAGAGGCTCTTCCACTGAGCCACAGTCCCTCTTTACAGCTCTCCAGGGTCTCAGGCAGAGGTCTTTCCTATCACATCCTGCCTGCTCCTTTTAAATTGAGATGCTGGGGATTGAACCTGGGGCCTTCTGCATGCCAAGCAGAGGCTCTTCCACTGAGCCACAGGCCCTCTTTACAGCTCTCCAGGGTCTCAGGCAAAGGTCTTTCCTATCACATCCTGCTTGCTCTTTTCAACTGGAGATGCCGGGGATTGAACCTGGGGCCTTCCACATGGCAGGCAGATGCTCTTCCACTGAGCCACAGCCCCTTCCCACCTTAAAGACCAACCAGGTTTCCAGGATATCAGCTACTGAGAGTCAAAGCTCCCTTTGCTTACACACCGGCCATCTAACCAGTCTTGGGAGTACTACTGGACATCCATCTTGCTCTTGTAGAGCAGGCCGACACAGCCACGGCCACCCACCTGATGCTACCTCCTGGCAAGTCCCACTTCGGCATCACTGGCTGAGGTACCCTGGAAGGAACAAGAGAGCTTCCTGGAGGGTGGGGCCTACTGACAGCAGCAGCTAAACGGAACCTCCCAGAGCAGAGGCACGGTACCTCTGAGTACCTGGTTACTGGAGATAAACGGGAAGGCCCTCAGTCTCCCGGAGACATCTGGATGCCCGTGGCCATGGACATGAGGCAAAGCCTTGACCTGCTGACTTGGGAGAACAATTCTCAGGAGAGCAGGCAAAGCGTTGCGGCTTCCGGGAGCTCCCAGCTCAGATCTCACCTTGGCCGTGGCCTCTCCAAGGGGCCTGGGGCAAGCTCATCTCTCTCGGGCCCGTTTGCGACGGGAGGGTAAGGACACTGGCCGACCTCACGGGGCTCTCGCAAACACTGGGGCCGCAACCAAGTTGCCCGCAGGCGTGAAAGGGGCCTTGGCTCCCCGCAAATACCAAGACGCGGCTCTCCTCGTGGCGCCCTCGTGCCGAGCTCCCCACTAGCAGGAAACTTACGGGGGTCCCTGTCTGGCGGGATGCGGATCTTACCGCCATCGACTCTGATCGCAAAAGCTGGTTTTTCTCTCCCCCCCCTCCCGCCACGCCAGCTCCAGAAAGCCTAGCTAGGCCGGCTGCGAGAAAACTCTGCACCGAATCGCGTGCGCGCTCCCCCGGTCTTGGCCTCGGCGTGACGATGATAAATATTGTCCGGTGGCTATGCGAGTCCTGCGTGTCCCAGCTCTATGATCCAGCAAAGTCCAACTGGTCGGGCACCCCCCACCCAAAAACAAAACACCCCCAAATCAAAACGAAACGAGAAACCCCGCCGGGAGTTGCAGGTTACCCTGCGAGCTTGCTGGTTACGAGCGAGGATTTGCGCTGCGGGAGGTCTTGCGGCGTCGGGATGTGGTCGCCGGTCACCAGGTTATTCTCCGCTCCTGGCGTTGGCAGCTGCTTGTTCTTGATCTTGGCTTTGGCCATGTTGTAGTCTCCGGAGTCAAAGTACTTTTGCTGGGAGGGGGAGAAGAAGATTTTTAGACCGAGTGAAAAAGCAGGCAACCGGCAGATGCTGGCCGTGTATATGTTTTTTGGCCATCAAGTTGCAGCCAACTTAGAGCAACCTAATAGGGTTTGGTGTCGTGGTTAAGTGCGCGGACTCTAATCTGGGAGAACCAGCTTTGATTCCCCACTCCTCCACTTGCACCTGGCCGGATGACCTTGGGCAAGCCATAGTTCTGATAAGAGCTGTTCTTGAAAAAGAGCAGTTTCTGTCAGAGCTCTCTCAGCCCCACCTGCCTCACAGGGTGTCTGTTGTCTAATCTGGGAGAACCGGGTTTGATTCCCCACTCCTCCACTTGCACCTGGCCGGATGACCTTGGGCAAGCTGTAGTTCTGATAAGAGCTGTTCTTGAAAAAGAGCAGTTTCTGTCAGAGCTCTCTCAGCCCCACCTGCCTCACAGGGTGTCTGTTGTGGGGAGGGGAAGGGAAAGGAGATCGTAAGCCACTCTGAGACTCCTTTGGGTAGTGAAGGGCGGGGTGTAAATCCAATCTCTTCTTCTTCTTTTTCTTTCAAGGAAACAGATGTTCAGAGGTGGGTTTGCCACTGCCTGCCTCTGTGTAGAAGAAGAAGAAGAGATTGGATTTATACCCCGCCCTTCACTACCCAAAGGAGTCTCAGAGCGGCTTACAAACTCCTTTCCCTTCCCCTCCCCACAACAGACACCCTGTGAGGTGGGTGGGGCTGAGAGAACGCTGACACAAACTGCTCTTTTTCAAGGACAGCTGTGCCAGAGCTTGTGACTGACCCAAGGTCACATCAGCAGGTGCAGGTGGAGGAGTGGGGAATCAAACCCGGTTCTCCCAGATTAGAGTCCGCCCACTTAACCATTACACCAAACTGGTGTAGCGACCCTGGAAATCCTTGGTGATCATCCATCCAAGTACTAACCGGGTCTGGGGAAACAACCACCAAGGAACAAACGGGGGGGGGGGGGAGGAGTAGAAGAGGAGGAGGAGGAGATAAGAAGAAAAAGAAGAAGGAGGAGGAAGAGGAGATTGGATTTATACCCCGCCCTTCACTCAGAGCGGCTTACAAACTCCTTCCCCTCCCCACAACAGATACCTGTGAGGTAGGTGGGGCTGAGAGCGCTCTTGACAGAAACTGCTCTTTTTCAAGGACAGCTCTGACAGAACTATGGCTTGCCCAAGGTCATCCAGAAGCTGCAAGTGGAAGAGTGGGGAATCAAACCCAGTTCTCCCAGATGTTCAGATGTCCACTACACCAAAAGATGTTCAGAGGTGGTTGTGCCATTGCCTGTCTGTGCGTAGCAAGCCTGGGCCTCTTTGGTGGTCTCCCACCCAAGTCCTAACCAGGGCCGACTCCGCTCATCATTAACGGGCTTCCTTGGGGGCCACACATCGGAGTGCCGGCCGGGGCTGTCCCTGCTGAGCTTCCGACGTCTAAGAGGATCGGGCCGGGCTGGGCCGCCCAGGTCAGGGCAGAGACAAACAGAGGTGGCTTTGCCCCCGTATGCCTCTGTGTAGCGACCCGGGACCTCCTGGGTGGTCTCCCATCCAAAGGCAGACCAGAGCCCACCTTGCTTATTTATTTATTTATTATTTAGATTCTTATCCCGCCCTCCCCGTAGGCTCAGGGCGGCTTACACGGCATATCGCCGGTATAATACAACAATAAAAACATTAAAAATATTAAATAACATCAAATATTAAAACAACATACATTCAAAGCAGTATCTGGTGTTCACCTCCTAAGAACAAGATGGCGATCTCCTAAAAGTCTCAGTCTCTTTCCGAAGTGCCCACATCTTGGTGACCCTGTCCACAAGGCTTGGGGCGTAGATGGTACCAGATGGCGGCTCCTATTCGAACGCCTGGTGGAAGAGCTCCGTCTTGCAGGCTCTGCGGAACTGTGCTAGGTCCCGCAGAGCCCTGATCTCCTCTGGGAGCTCGTTCCACCAGATAGGAGCCGCCACCGAGAACGCCCTGTTCCTGGTCGTAGTGAGTTTGATAACCCAGGCTCCCGAGACCCGATGAGATCAGGCTCGCCTGGGCTATTCAGATCAGGGTGCTGGCCAAATGCAGCCAAAGGAAAAGCCATCCGTTGGCACACCAAACAAACTAAGAGACCCCCCCCCCCCAATCCTTCCTGCTTATCCTGGATTGTTATAGTCAGTAGAAAGGAGAAGGGAATATTGAGGCAATCGGCAACTATGCAAAAGCGTTTGGAGACCTTCCAGCAGTTGCCTAGCAACTATCCATAGGATATCCCCATTCCCCCCCCCCCTCAACATATGCTTTAGGAACAAGCCTCTTTATCAGCACAGTCAGGTGTGACTTGACTGACGGCTGTCACCATCACCAGGGGCTGCTGCGGAAGCCTCTAGCGCAGGGATGGCCAAACTTGCTTAACGTAAGAGCCACACAGAATAAACGTCAGATGATTGAGAGCCACAAGACGTAAACAAATATTACAGATTTTTAATTGAAAAATATGCAAATTTGCTTTTTATTAGCATTAAATGAGACTGTCAAAAATAACAACAAAAGGGGTAAAAACAGATATCGATAATGATATTTATTTGTCCAATGCTATTTGTTTGCTAATGGTATTTATTTTTAAGAGAGAAAGAAAAGGAGAGGTGGAAAGAAAGAGAGAGAAAAACAAAGGAAGAAAATGGGGGAAGAAAGAGTGAAAGGAAGGAAGGGAGAGAGAGAGAGAGAGAAAGGTGGAAAGAAAGCAAACAGATGGGGGAGGGAGGGAGAAGAGGAGAAAAGAAGGAGAGGTGGAAAGAAAAAATGAAAGCGGTGGAAAGAAAGAGAGAGAAAAACAGAAAGAAAATACAGGGGGAAGAAAGAGTGAAAGGAAGGAAGGGGGAGAGAGAGAAAAAAAAAGAGAAAGAAAGGTGGAAAGAAAACAAATAGATGGGGAGGAGAGAAGGAAAGAGAAGGAGAGGTGGAAAGAAAAAATGAAAGAGGTGGAAAGAAAGAGAGAGAAAAACAAAAAGAAAATACGGGGGAAGAAAGTGAAAGGAAGGAAGGGAGGGAGAAAGAAAGAAAGGTGGAAAGAAAGCAAATAGATGGCGAAGGAAAGAGAAGGAGAGGTGGGAAGAAGGAATGAAAGAGGTGGAAAGAAAGAGAGAAAAACAAAGAAAATACAGAGGGAAGAAAGTGTGAAAGGAAGGAAGGGAGAGAGAGAGAGAGAAAGAAAGGTGGAAAGAAAGCAAATAGATGGGGAGGAGAGGAGGAAAGTGAAGGAGAGGTGGAAAGAAAGAATGAAAGAAGTAGAAAGAAAGAAAAAGAAAGAAAATTGAGGGGGAAGAAAGAGTGAAAGAAAGGAAGGGAGAGATAGAGAGAGAAAGAACAGTGGAAAGAAAGCAAATAGATGGGGGGAGGAGAGGAGGAAAAAGAAGGAGAGGTGGAAAGAAAAAGAGAAAAACAAAGAGAAAGAGAAAGAAAGGTGGAAAGAAAGCAAATAGATGGGGGAGGGAGGGAGAAGTGGAAAGAAAGTAACTTCAGCTAGCTTGGCTGAGAGAAGGAATTTAAAGAGACAAATGTCTTCTCCAAGCTGGCCAGCCCAGGGTGTGTGTGTGTGCTCTGAGAATGCACTTAAAGTTTTTTTCTTTCTCTGCTCTCCCCCCCTCCACACACACACCTCAAAAGCCTACCCAGGGAGGGGAACACTGGCTAGAGAAGGGAAGACCAATTGGGGAGGCACGCCTCCCCTTCCTTCCTCAGCTGCCCTGCCAAGAGCCGCACAATATGTGTGGAAGAGCCGCATGTGGCTCCTGAGCCACACTTTGGCCACCCCTGCTCTAGAGAAAGGGTGACACAGTTCTGGCTTCTCATGGAGAACAGGGGTTTTTCATACCCCACTTGTTTCTTCCTTTTAAGAGCCTCAAAGTGTCAGCTAGCTGCCATTTCTCTGGGACACGTCCCGTCCTTATTCCTGCCCGTCCTCCCTTCCCTCCTCTTGTTATTCTCTTCTGGTATGCTTCTGTAACTGCCAAGTTTCTCCTGCAGGTGGATGTCGGAGTGTTATGTCTTGTTGCCTGGGCTTAATTAGATTTCCCGTGTGAACTCAACTTGTGTTTATGAAATTGGCTGTTGTGATTCTCAGGCTGCTTCGCGCCTTTTCTAATCAGCTCCCTTACGAGGGAAATGTACCCATTGGGTTAACCAAGTTTGAAGTTCCTATATTACTTTGCCCCTGTGTATTGTCGTCATTCTGAACAATCTCTGTATGTTCATGACTAACCATGCTTTGGAAATAAATCTTACTTCTTTGGAACGTGGGTTTGTTCTCCTGACTTGGGATCTGACACAAAGCGGCTTACAATGGCATGCCCTTCCCCTTCCCACGACAGGCACCTTGTGCGGTAGGTGGGGCTGAGAGAGTTCTGAGAGAACTGTGACCGGCCCAAGGTCACCCAGCAGGTTTAATGCAGAGGAGGAGGGGGGCCTCAGACATATATCGCCGGGGGGGAGGGGGGCAGAACTGGACACGTACCCCTTTCTGGAGCCTCTTCATTAAGAAGTCTGACCCTCCGGGCTTCTGAAGTCCTAGGCTGGGGTACTTGGCCTTCAGCTTTGCCTCTTCAGCTCGCTCGGGGATGACCGCTTCCTTCTCTTGCGTATCCTGAAAGGAAGAGGAAATTTAAGGACGGAAGTCACAATACAAGAACTTGCGGGCACTCCATGAAATTGCTGAGCAGTCTGGTTGGAACGGATAAAAGGAAGTCCTTCTTCACCCAAAGAGTGATTAACACATGGAATTCACTGCCACAGGATGTGGCGGCGGCTCAAGAGAGAATTAGATAAGCATATGGAGCAGAAGTCCATCAGTGGCTCTTAGCCACAAGGTATAGATAGGAACTCTCGGTCTGGGGCAAGTGATGCTCTGTATTCTTGGTGCTTGGGGGGGCAACAGTGGGAGGGCTTCTAGTCTCCTGGCCCCACTGCCGGACCTCCTGATGGCACCTGGTATTTTTGGCCACTGGGTGACACAGAGTGTTGGACTGGATGGGCCTTTGGCCTCATCCGACATTGGCGTCTCTTATGTTCTTATGACTGAGCCCTGTAACAATCCCACTGCTGACACCACGTGACAGACTTCGACCCCTAAACAGAGACAAGCGGAATGAGGACAAGCGGAAAACGTGCCTTTCCACGGCAGAGGAACTCAACAAAGTGCTCTGAAATGAATACATTTTACAAACACTTTTTTTTTTTGCATTTGTGCGAGCGTGTGTGTGTGTGTGCGTGCGTGCCCATGCTTGGAAGCAGGGGTCATTTCCTGCAGGAGCACACAGGAGCAGAGCTCCGGCAGTAAAGAGCCCAGGGGGCGGGAACATGCAACAAGCCCCACCCCCTGCTCCGAGCAGCCCTCAGTCAGAGCAAGAAGCAGCCAGGTAAGTTGCAGAGCACCCCCCCGGTCCCCCGGTCCAAAACAGTCCAGTGGCACCTTTAAGACCAAGTTTTATTCAGGTACAAGCTCTCCCTCCTCTGCGAGGACAGAGCTGCACGTCCCCCCCCCCCAATAGCTAGCAATCCAAAACAGTCCAGTGGCACCTTTAAGACCAAGTTTTATTCAAGTACAAGGCCTCCCTCCTCTGCAAGGACAGATCTGCGCCTGTGCCCCCCCCCCCCCGCAATAGCTAGCAATCCAAAACAGTCCAGTGGAGCCTGAGCGGTGGGCGTTGCCTTCTGACACACTTCCAGTGATGTCAGGGTGTGTGGCATATGCAAATAAGTTATGCTAATGAGCTCCTGTACCTCTTTTCCTACAAAATGACCCCTGCTTGGAAGTCATGGCGACCTCTGGCGACTCCTACTGGGGCCTGGAGGACGTTAAGAGATGTGGCTTGATAGCCTGCCCTCTCGGTCCTGGCATTCTTTGGAATACCAAAGAACTCCCCCCCCCCAGGCGGTCGTTTCTACGTATGCCCGCTTAGGAGAAATCTGCTCTGTCCCATTCGGCCAAGGGGGTACCAAGCAGTCCCAGTGCACTCAGGGGAAAGCAGATTCGGCTCTTAGTGGCCACTGCATGTTTTCCATTAACTGACGAGCCATTACAGACTTGTGAGCCGGAAAAGGCCTTTGTTCAAGCAGAAGGGCCGTTGCCAACGTCCCAGCCTATTTTTGGATGGGCAGACGGCATCGCCACGGAGCTCTCCTCCGCTGACGAGCCCAGAGTGTTCTACGGCCTTCGCTGCCAGCCGGCTGGAATTGTAGCTGGAGGGGGAAGAGGCTGCCCTTTAAAAATCTATTTGCATCAGCCTGGGGACTCTGGGACGGAACAAGCTAAAATCCCAAGCAGTGTTCCCTCTAAGCTGAGTTAGTGTGAGCTAGCTCACAGTTTTTAGCCTCCGACTCACACATTTTTGTCTTTGTTCAGGAAGGATGGAGCTCCAGAGCAAACTCATTTATGCAGTAGCCAAATCGATTGCTCACAGCTTCAATGCCAGTTGCTCACAAAGTAGAATCTTTGCTCACAAGACTCCACAGCTTAGAGGGAACATTGAATTCCCAAGGAGATCCAGCCACTGGGCAGGCAGAGCTGAACAGAGAAATCACACCCACAGCAGCTCTGGGAACAACTCGGTAGCCGTGTTGACTCAAGGAGGTGACAGGCAAACACGGTATTATAAACGGGGACAGGGGGTGTCACAGGGATTCGTGTTATTTGTAGATGGATGAGAAGTCCTTCTGTTTGGGATCAAGCGATCCAGTTCTACAGAAGGACCGTTTGCAGAACGTAGCTGTGTTGGTGTGCAGGAGAAGAACCAGACGAGTCCAGGAGCACCTTAGGGACCAAAAAGATCATTGGGGGTCTGAGCTTCTGAGAGCCGAAGCTCTCTCCGTCAGATACGAGAGCACTGTTTCCAAAAGGAGAGCAGAGTGATTTCTGATGCCAAATGACACTAGCGGGCAAATGACCATAGAAGGTGTGATTTAATTAGGTGTGATATGCAGAGAGGCAGTAGGCATGGAGAAATCAACATTGGGAACGAGACAGGAAACCTAGGTCTCGATTCAGTCCAGGGGGATGCATTGTCTTGAGCTTCGTCATCAGTTGCAATGCAGCACTCTCTCTTTATTTATTTATTTATTTCACTTTTACCCCGCCCTCCCCACCAGGCAGGCTCAGGGCGGCTTCCAAAACTGACAAGCAGTATACATACACAATAAAATATAAACACAAGGCATCAGTAAAAACACAACCAATCAATATAAAACATTCATTAGATGGCGATAAAACTAAAGTGCAGTTTAAGGACACATTCAGCGGTACCCCGTTAGGTCGTATTGGATCAGAGAGACATCTCTCCTATCGGAACACCTGCCTAAAAAGTTCTAGAAAGTTCTGTATTCACGGCCTTGCGGAACTTTCTGACGAAGCGAGCTGTGACTCAAGAAAGCTCATCCCCTGCCACAAATTTTGTTTGTCTTTACGGTGCTCCTGGACTCTTACTCTTCTCTACTGCTACAGACAGACTAACACAGCTGCCCATATTGATCTATCTCCAAAAGGAGGACATTGTGGTATGGACTGCAGGCCAGGGAGAGATTTGGAGAGGCAAGAAGGAGCTGGGCTCCCTTGAATAAGGGTAGAGACCTGGCTCTGGAAGGAAGCCAAAAGATATTGAGTCCAGCTACACCAGGGAGAAAGATCTATGCAGCTGTTTATTCCCATCGATTTGTTAGAAGAATGGGGGGGGGGTTTGCTTTGGAATCCCCACTTTCAGATGGTGCTGCATGCTCAGAGAGCCATGTACTGAACCAAAGTGACCAGAGTCCAGTCCAGCAACATCCCTGGGAAGGGGATCCCTCCCTTCACACTTGGCACCACACACATTTCCCCATGATAGAAAGCAACGGAACCCAGCCCTGGGACGCTGCTCTGAGCCCCAGGAGAGAAACGGACTCTAAAGACAGCGGCTCCACGAAGGGGCCACCAACTATAGTCTGCAGAAGCCTCACACCACTCACCCGCCCACCATGCCCCTTCCTGCCATCATGGAGAGCTGGACCTGCATCCAGAACCAGCAGAACCGAGTTCAAATCCCACCCTCTGCCCGAAGGGTGCTGCGACCCAGCTCACTCTGTAGTTTCAAAGCAGGGACCACGAGGGCCCTTGTGGTCAAACAGTGACCCACAGTGCCAACAGTCAGCTGGAGTTTATCGAATCATAGTTGGAAGGGACCTCCAGGGTCATCTAGTCCAACCCCCTGTACAATGCAGGAAATTCACAAATATCTCCCCCCAACGCCCCCAGTGACCCCTGCTCTCATGCCCAGAAGGCCAAACCTCCCCCCCCCCCAAAAAAAAAACAACAAACCACCCCAACCTCCAGGATCCCTGAGAGCCAGTTTGGTGTAGTGGTTAAGTGTGCGGACTCTAATCTGGGAAAACCGGGTTTGATTCCCCCCACTCCTCCACATGCAGCTGCTGGTGTGACCTTGGGTCAGTCACAAGTTCTCTCAGAGCTGTTCTCTCACGAGCAGTTCTCAAAAGAGCTTTCAGCCCCACCGACCACACAGGGTGTCTGTTGTGGGGAGGGGAAGGGAGATTGTAAGCCACTCCCAAGACTCATTCGGGTAGTGGAGGGCGGGGTATAAATCCAATTTCTTCTTTTTCTTCAACTAGGTGAAGTTCAACCCGCATGTACCTCCTCCACCTTCTTGGTCTACACAAAGATACCCCTGCCCACTGGCTCCTTTCCTCTCACACGAAGCTGCCTCCTACTGAATCAGACCCTCGGTCCCTTAAGGTCAGGATTGTCTACTCAGACTGGCAGCTGCTCTCCAGGGTCTCAGGCAGAGGCCTTTCCCACCACCTACTGCCTGGTCCTTTAACTGGAGATGCCAGGGATTGAACCTGGGACCTTCTGCATGCAAAGCAGAGGCTCTACCGCTGAGCCACAGCCCCTCTTTATAGCTCTCCAGGGTCTCAGGCGGAGGCCTTTCCCACCACCTACTGCCTGGTCCTTTAACTGGAGATGCCAGGGATTGAACCTGGGACCTTCTGCATGCAAAGCAGAGGCTCTACCGCTGAGCCACAGCCCCTCTTTATAGCTCTCCAGGGTCTCAGGCGGAGGCCTTTCCCACCACCTACTGCCTGGTCCTTTAACTGGAGATGCCAGGGATTGAACCTGGGACCTTCTGCATGCAAAGCAGAGGCTCTACCGCTGAGCCACAGCCCCTCTTTATAGCTCTCCAGGGTCTCAGGCGGAGGCCTTTCCCACCACCTACTGCCTGGTCCTTTAACTGGAGATGCCAGGGATTGAACCTGGGACCTTCTGCATGCAAAGCAGAGGCTCTACCGCTGAGCCACAGCCCCTCTTTATAGCTCTCCAGGGTCTCAGGCGGAGGCCTTTCCCACCACCTACTGCCTGGTCCTTTAACTGGAGATGCCAGGGATTGAACCTGGGACCTTCTGCATGCAAAGCAGAGGCTCTTCCACTGAGCCACGGCCCCTCTTCCTGGCATCTATTTCAGTCCGGCCTTTTCTCCCAGTTTTTCAGAATCTTTGATACCAGCCCAAGTCCTCTGACTCATTCAGCCCTCCTTCCCTTGCATATGGCTTCTAAGCCCCAGCGTCTGCCAGGTCTCTGCTTTTCCATGACCCTTCAGCCCC